AGGAAAATTCAAAATTACCTTCCCCCCCCAATGGTTAAAAAATTAAAACAACCTTTCCTTACCCTTTCTCCCTTTCCTCCGGGTACCAACCTCAATTTTTCAGATTTCCCCGGCCGCCCACCATTTTCCCCCCGGGCGGGCGGCGGCGCCGGCCCTACATCTTCTCCCAAAACGACGCCGTTGCGCTGCTCGCTTTTAAATCGAAGGCGGACTTGGACAACAAGCTCCACTACACGACGAACGAGCGCTTCGACCACTGCACGTGGCAGGGCGTGAAATGCGCGCAGGGCCGCGTCGTGCGGTACGTGGTCCAGAGCTCCGGCCTCGCGGCGGCGTCGCTCCGGCCAGCCTCAGCCGCCTCGACCAGCTCCGTGTACTCAGTCTCAGAAACAACTCCCTCTTCGGCCCACTCCCCGATTTCTCCGCTCTGGTCAACCTCAAAACCCTCTTCTTTGACCACAACTACTTCTCCGGCGAATTCCCCCTCTCTCTACTGCTCCTCCACCGTCTCCTCGTTCTCGATTTGTCCCACAACAACTTCACCGGTTTGCTGCCGGAAAATCTAACCGTTCTGGACCGGTTGGGTTCCCTCCGCCTCGACTCGAACCGGTTCAACGGTCCGATTCCTCAGCTGAACCAGACAACCTTGGAAGCCTTCGACGTGTCGGAGAATAACCTCACCGGTCCGATCCCGGTCACCCCAACTCTCAAAAAGTTCAAGATTTCTTCATTTCTGCACAACCCTAATCTCTGCGGAGAGATTATCCACAAGCCCTGCCACGGTTCTCCTTTCTTCAACTCCGGCGGCGGCGACGGCGGCGCCGCCGCCCCATCACCGCCGACGCCGCTCCTGCAGAACGCGCAGTCACAGCAGGGACTAAGCGATACTTCTGGCTTATCCATCAAACCCCACCGTAAAAACGTGGGTTTGATTCTAGGTTCGATAACCGGTGCTCTGATTCTAGCGGCGGCGGTTCTCAGCTTATTCGCACTGATCAGAAAAAGAAGAGAGGAAAGAGATGAAAGAGATGAACAGATTGAAGCAAAACTAGAAACCAATCTTATTACAGACGAACCCATTAACACAAACACAAACAAAGCTACAATGGACACAACATTAACAACAACAGGAACCACAACAACCCTCTTCTCACTCCAATCCGAAAACCAAGATTCCGATTTTAAAATCTCCGAGTCGAAGAAATCAAAATCCCCTCTACAGAAAAGACTGATGAAAAGTGGGAATTTAGTCTTTTGCTCCGGGGAGGAAGAGCTGTACACATTGGAGCAGCTGATGAGGGCATCGGCCGAGCTTCTCGGTAGGGGCACGATCGGTACGACGTACAAAGCGGTAATGGCGAATCAGTTAATCGTGACTGTAAAAAGATTGGACGCGTGCAAAACCGCCGTTACAAGCGGCGAGGAATTCGAGCAGCATATGGAGAGTGTTGGCGTGCTCAGGCATCCCAATTTAGTCCCTGTTAGAGCTTATTTTCAGGCCAAACAAGAAAGGTTGATCGTTCTTGATTACCAGCCCAATGGCAGCCTCTTCAATCTTATCCACGGTAAACTAATTTCCTTAATCTCGATTTCTCTACTGTTTGTTTTTAAGTTAATCCCATATGAACCAGTGCTGTAGTAAATGGGCTCCCACTTTCCTTTATTGCTACCGACAATTGTTGTGCTGAAATTAAAGTCAGATATATAACATGGGTGTTTTGCTCTTGTGGGGTTTGCTTCTGGTTTCTGATATAATCCACATAAAGATTCAATTTTTACAGTCATTCTTGATTTTTTTTTCTTTAACATAATTATAGTTATGACTAATCTCGAATCACTAATTAATCCTTAAACCTTTGCTGAAATTAAAGTCAGATATATAACATGGTGTTTTGTTCTTGTGGGGTTTGCTTCTGATTTCTGATATAATGTCCACATAAAGATTCAATTTTTCCACCATTCTTGATTTATTTAATTTTTTTTACATAACTGTAGTTATCACTAATCTTGAATCACTAATTAGTCCTTAAACCTTTGCTGAAATTGAAGTCAGATATTTAACTTGGTGTTTTGCTCTAGTGGGTTTGCTTCTAATTTCTGATATGACATAAAGATCCAATTTTTTTTTTAACCATTCTTGATTTTTTTTTAATTACATATACTATAGTTATCACTAGTCTTGAACCACTAATTAATGTTTACTTAAACCTCTGCGGAAAAAACTAAATGAAGGTTCAAGATCCACTCGGGCGAAGCCACTCCACTGGACTTCATGTCTGAAAATCGCGGAAGACGTGGCTCAAGGCCTAGCCTACATCCACCAAGCGTCGAAAACCATACACGGAAACCTAAAATCCTCGAACGTGCTGCTCGGTTCCGATTTCGAAGCATGCATAACCGACTACTGCCTCGCCATGCTGGCAATCGACACGTCATCAGAAGACGACCCCGATAACGCGAGCCACTACAGAGCACCCGAAATACGAAAGTCCGCTAAGAGAGCCACCGCGAAGTCCGACGTGTACGCTTTTGGGGTTCTTGTTTTGGAGCTGCTGACAGGCAAGCCGCCACGTCAGCACCCTTGCCTGGCCCCGCCGGACATGCCGGACTGGGTGCGGGCGATGAGGGATGACGACAGCGAGGATGACATGAGGCTGAGGATGCTGGTTGAGGTGGCGAGTTTCTGTAGCTTGAGTTCGCCGGAGCAAAGGCCGACGATGTGGCAGGTTTTGAAGATGATTACTAATATTAAGGAGTTTATGGAGGATGATAGTCCTTCATGATATGGTTAAAAGAGTAGTCTTGATCACAGGATTAAATTCTTTTTAGTTTTGGTTTTTGGGATGTGATTGTGCTTAAGGTTTATATTTGAATATGGCTTTTTTATATGGTGCTCCAAGTTTTTGAGCATTTTGATTATGTTCTGCATTAGTGTTCTTTTGGTTCTTTGAATTAAATTAAACTGCAGTTGACTTAATTATAGTGGTTGGGTAAATTACAACCACTTCCCTGGAGTAGAGTGTAACCACATCAAAATCCCTTCGTTTTGAAAATAACATTTAATCTCCTGCAATTTGGTATATTTATACATCTACCCTGAACAAAAGAATGTCAATGTAGGAAATCTTACAAACTTTGGGGGGCGTATAATCATGGAAAATTAGGGTTTTTTCGTAAGTAGACCTTAGTTTAAGCTGATGTTGTAATTTACTCTTTTAGTTATGATACACATGCAATATAGAATCGATCCAAAAACAGCTCCAACATTTATCGGTATAGAAGGTCATATGCACCAAGTTCAAACTACAGGAGGTTGATACTTTGTAAACTTAATTTTAATTTGTTCATAAAATTTTGGGTAAATTACGGTAACCCTTAAGATAATGTCAAATTGGGAAATCTACCCTCATATTTAGGTAATTACAACCACTCATCAATTATGAATCTTTTTGCTGCGTTCACCCTTGTGCTTTCATATTTAATGTAATATTCTAAATCGTGCTGAATATTCTTCAGTTTGTACCCATTTTACCACATTCGAACTCCACATTTAAAAAAAAAAGATGATCATAAGATGTGTCTTTGACTTGCAAATATCAGATTGTGGTGCATCATAAACTGCATTTTTGCATAAAATGGGTACAGACTAGAGATCATTACACGAAATCTAGAAATTATATTTAATTTGACACAATATAAACAAATGTATAAGAAGATTCATAGTTGATGGGTGATTGTAATTACCAAAACATTTGGGCAATGTTTGGTATTGTTTTTATCTTGTTTCCATTGTTTCACCGAAACAAAATTTTATTTATTACACTTCTCAAATAATTTTCACAAAACAATCTCAAACATTTCTCTCTCCTTCAGACATGATGTGACTGCTACAATAAAATGATTTGACTGCTACACTAAAACAGATTTCACTAAAAAAACAAATAAATATCGATTCATTTTCAATTTTTTTCCTCTAAAATACCATTTTCTAACACGTTTAAACATAATGTGACTGCTACAGTGTATTTTGTCTCCTTATAAAATATAAACAAACATTACTTTCAGTCTCACATTCTTCCCACAAAACATATTTCTTCAATATGAAATCAAAATAAGATCCAAAACGCTTCCAAACATCGACTTGAGATTTTTTTCTTTTTTCGTAATTTGATATTTCCTAAAACTTTTGTATAGGTTGAACAACCCACGCGCGTTCCACGTGAGGGCACCCACCACAAACCACATATAATGGCGTGGTTTTCACGCTAGAATTAGGAAATAGAAGATATCGCAATTGAACTTTGACTTTTTTGTTTTCTTTCCCTCTACAAAGTAGAAAATGGCCACTAGAAAAAGAAAAGATTCAAAATAATCTCCTACCTTGAGATTATTTTTATTATTATCACTTCATTAAATACCAGCCGTCGATCTTCCATCACCAGCCGTCGGATAATAAAAAAGAGAAAAATTGTACCCCACCCCCCTCTCTCTCTCTCTCTCTTTAAAACCCAAAATCGAAACCTTCAAAAAGGGGGGTTGCTGCTCATCTTATAGAGAGAGAAAGATAGAGAGAGAGAGAAATTCTAGGTTAAAAATGTCTGGAGGAATTGCGCGCGGACGACTTGCGGAGGAACGCAAAGCCTGGCGGAAGAACCATCCCCATGTTCGATCACGTTTCCTTACCAATTTCAATTTTTTTAATTTTTTTTTTTTTGTTGTGGTTTAATTTTGGCTTTTGTTTCGGTTTTTGAGTTAATTTATGTTTGGGCTTTTCTGTGTAGGGTTTTGTGGCTAAACCAGAAACCCTACCTGATGGTACAGTGAATTTGATGGTGTGGCACTGCACCATCCCTGGCAAAACCAATGTAAGTATTTCTCAATCCTCCTTTGAACCTTGTTTTTTTGTTGCTCTGTAAATTACTTGTTTTAATCGTGGGAAATAATTTTGTGTTGGTCTAGAACATTCCTCAGATTTTATTTTATTATTATTTTTTTTTATTGTTTTTGAATTTGATCTGATAGATATATGTAGCTTAATTATTAGCAATTTTCTTGGAATATGTTTCACTGATTGATTAAGTGACAGTTGGGTAGACTCCAAGTAGATGCTTGTTTGTAATTATCACTGTTGTTAGTTTGGGTTTGCTTTTTGCTCGTATGATGTATTTGTTGTATAATACTCAATCCAATTTGAAGTAAGCGTTTTGTTCACGTTGTGGTGTCGGACTGTTAGATATTGGTTATACTCGATCTTACATTTTCTTGTTAGTTAGACTAGTTGTAGACTTGTGGGGTGTTGTATGTAAGTAATTACTTGGTTGTATCGAGTAAGTTGGATAAACAAGTTTCTAGTTCGAATATAGACAATGAATTGCATGTGTGGTCTTTTATT